CAGAACACTTGATTATGCTCATGTGAAATCTATACTTGCACCAGAATGTAGTTATCAGAGCAGAGCAAGGAAACATTGTGTAGTTAATAATTAGGAGTGTGTCAGGAATGAGTGCTTTCTCTATATCTTTTCAATCTATATGTGAACAGATCATTTGAGAGGCTGGATTTTATGAGGAGGAATGTGGCATCAGGATTGGAGAAAGACTTATCAACAACCTGCATTATGCAGATGACACAATCTTGCTTTCCAAAGCTGAGGAGGACCTAAAGCTTTTCTGCAAAAAGTCAAGGACTGTAGTCTTCAATATGGATTGAAGCTAAACATCAGGAAGACAATGATTCCCACCAACAGGCCAATTGGCAGCATCATGATGGAGGAAGAAGAAGAGATGGAGGTTGTTAACAATTTCCGCTTGCTTGACTCCACAATGAACACTATAGGCAAAAGCAGTCAGGAAGTAAAAAAAAAAATTGCATTAGGGAAATCTGCTGTCAGGGACCTACCTCTCTGGAAGCAACGATGTCAGTCTTGATATTAAGGTGAGCCTGATCCAGGCCTTGATCTTTGCAATTACATGCTGTGTATCAAAGTGCTGGCCAAAGATGACAAATAATTGATACCTCTGAGTTCTGGTGCTGCCAATAGTGTATTGAAAATACCATGGAGTGCGGGGAGAATAAACAAGCTTGTCTTGAAAAGGGTGAAACCAAGTTTCTCCTTGGAGACTAGGATTTTGGACCTCCATCTCACTCACTTACTTTGTGCACATGTCCAGGAGGGACTAATCCTTGGAGAAGGACATCATGCTTGGAAGGGTCGAGGGACAGTGCAGGAGAGGAAGACCTTGAATGAGATGGATTGACACCATAACTGGGTTGATGGGATAAGGTGTGTCAGATCCATGAGAATGGCTCAGGACAGGGCAGAATTCAAAGCTGTTGTCCATAAGGTCTCTGTGAGTTGAGGCAACTTGATGGCACCTAACAGCATCCTTAAAACTTATTTAAAAACAGACAAACCAGGATTAAACAATTGAGTGACTGGACCTTTGAGTGTATTCACACATGCATAACTTTAAAAATATGAAGAAAGTGAGCTTATATGATTTTTAATATAGTTGACTAGATTCACTGGCTCAAGGTTGCTGGAGGCTTTCTATAAGCATTCAATCCGAGAGGACTGACTACATATCTAAGATAGGACCTACTCTTTTTATGTGAGTTTTTTAAAAAAATTTTATTTTAATTGTAATTTTAACGAATATTTGCAGAGAAGTTAGGTTTTCATTTATTCATTGTTGCACAGTTTAGCCCCTCGCCCTCTCTTTCACCTCCCTCAGTTCACTTTTTCCCCCCCAGTATTCATTCATTGATGCACAATTACCTACCTCTTGCTTGTGCTCCCTTCTTGGCCAGAGGGCCACAGGGCCCAGGGCCTAACAGCAGTGTTTCACCCAGAGAACCTGAATGGCAGGGCAATGGCAGGGAAGTCTTTTCCTTTCCAGAAACTGCGTCTTGGCCCAGTGTAGCCTGGTCTGGCGCCTTCCACTTGAGCTTAAGGAATCCCATATGGTGTAGCTAGATAACAGTGTTTCATCCAAAGTATGTGTGATACTGGTACTCCTGTTGCTTGACAGTGGAGACAGCAGCTCGGTGGTCTCAAGACAGTGGAGCAGCGGTGTGGATCATAAAAAACTGGCTGACTCTGAGAAGAATGGGAATCCCAGATCACTTGATCGTGCTAATGTGAAACCTATACTTCATACCTTTTCAACCTGTATGCAGAACAGATTATCTGGGAGGCTGGGCTCTATGAGGAGAAATGTGGGGTCAAGATTGGTGGAAGATTCATCAACAATCTGCGTT